TTAATTTTTTGGCTTCTAAAGAAAACTTATAGTAATTGAAGCAATTTTTTTTTAAGTAAACCAACTTTAATAGACATGATTAAGATCTATAACAGTATAATTTAAAATTATATTACTAATAAAATGATAGAGAGAGGGAGAAGTATGATTTAATAAAAATAAAGAATTATTATTATATAATAATGATTTATGAATTATTTATGCCTCTTAGGGATAATTAAGAATGGGAAATTTGAGATGATTTAAAAGAGATTTTTTTTTTTATTTAATTTGAAAAATAAAAATTAGAATTATCCCAAATTAGAAATGTTTTCTACATAGCTTAAAGTAAATTGAAATTGTTTGTATGAAATACTAGAAGCAGAATACCAGAATATTGTTCCGAGGAATATTAAATTTATTTACTCATTAAAAATTGAGAATATTTGTAAAAAGCCATGAGAAACTGCATTTGTAGTTATTATTACTGTTATAATTGAATAAATTATACTTGCTTAATAGTAAACAAGTTATAATGGACAGTAAAATAGAACAATATGAATATTATTCAATCACAACTCATATTGACTGAATGTATTGTTTACTCAAGTCATTGTACTCAATAATAATTCGTGATTATTATGCGAGAATTTATAACTGAGAGCGGTTTTAAAATGAAAATTTAATATATGAGAGAAAACCATATTGTATTTTTTTATTTGCTTAAAATATAGTGAAAATAAGATTTTTCTTAACATTAATTATTTTTGCTTAATATTTTGTAGTAATAACGTTTTTTTAATTTCTGAATACTCAGAAAATTTCCTATAAAATTTATTATAAGCCTACTTTACTATGATTTTAAGATTCTTTAAGATTATGCTCTTCACATTTTTACTTTCATTGTAATTTGTTTTTAGAGAATTGTAAATCATTCCAATTTATGTAGCTCTCGTTCAATAAATAAAGTAAATGAAAGCTTATTCTGCAACTAAATTGAGTACTTTTATCATTTTAAATACTCCCATTGCGGAGAAAAAAAATATTTTTTTTTAATTGTTTAATATTTTTAAATTATGAATTTGTCTATAAATTTTATTACAATTTAATTTTGATTTAAATTTTATGCATTTTAATGTAATTTTAATTATAAAAATCTTTTAATAAAATTTAACAATAAAAGAGAAACAATCGTCTTTTTAAAGAGAAACGATCTTAAAAATGAGTTCATTTCAGAAAATAATTGTAAATTTTCCAAGTACTTTTTAAACAAGTACCATTACTTCTATAATGGCAAAATGTACAAAAAAAATCCGAAATTTGAAAATTGCATGCATGCATACCTTTTTTTCTCTTGCTTAAAAACAAAACCATTAAAATTACGTTTATTAATACTCTATATATAGTTATTAACTTGATCCAGAAATATTATTATAGAATAAAAAATAAATACCAATGTTCTTATTTATACTTTTCGCCATACATTTATACATAATATACTTACATATTATTATATTTATCTAGATATGTGGCTTAAATCTTTATGCACATTATTTAGATACACATTATTTAAAACTAAAGTCCATAAATCAACGAGGCATGAGACTAATGAAACGATTTTATCATAAAAATCTTAAACATTAACTCATACTAACTATAGAAGCAATTTCACGGTTTTTATGCGCGTATGTGCATAGCACTTATTATAATATATTTAATGGATACAGGTACAGAAACAAAAAAAAATAATAATAAAAGATTGCGGAACTAAGAGGAAGAAAATCGTTCCAAAAAAAAAAAAATAAAAAATATTAAATAAGAAAAAAATTATAAAAATTTTGAAACCTCAAGAAAAAATTAACTAATCACCGCATGAGGAAAATATTGCTACATACCTGTATATAACATAACACATAATCTTATTTCATGTAAGAACAAAAAAAAAAGCTAATATACATGTGAATAAAATGCTACACATACCAAGTTTAAAATTATTCTAAATGCTGGTCGAGCTGAGTACATTTACTTACGTTTTACTTAGAACAAAGATGCTCTAGATCTATTATGATTATTAATACTTTTTAAAAGTTTGTGTAGTTTTATTAAAAACTAGATTGCAATTTTTCTTATTTTTATATAGGAAGGTAGACTCATATACGAGTAGTTGGCTTTTTAAATAACACTAAAAAAATTGCATCTCAATAGTTTATTTTTATATGATAAGGAAACAGAAAATTATTAGTAATCTTAGAATTTAATAATTTTGGATGATCTTTAGAAAATATTTGATATTTAAATAACAAATAAGAAAATTACAAATATGATGGTCATTTATTAAATTTTTTCAACAGATTTAGGCAAATTTGTTTCAAAATTTAAATAATGAGTCTCGTATTTAAGTCATAAATAAAACGAAAAATAAACAATAGAAGAATTTAACAGAAGTAGATCAGTTGCTAGAGAATACACCTAGAAAGCGGTAGGTCACTGGTTCGAGCACAGTTGAAGGAGATGAAGTATTTTTATTTTTCTGTCTTGATTCGTTCCTCAGGTTGTGTCATCTGTTCAGCGAAATTCTATTATTTGTTCTCATAAGAAACCGAACAGAATTTATTAATATAATAATACTAAAATACATAATATCGATTACATTTACGTCATTATTCAGTACCATGCCAGTACAAGAATTTTAATTGCCACTGCATTTTGGCTTTGAAAGGCAGATAAATGTTGGCTGCCAACCGATATTAATCAAGCTCTTTTTTAATTTTAGAAAAAACTAGAAAATTTTATTATGCATTCTATTCTTATATAATGAGATTTATAACTTAAACCAAAACAATAGGATTAGTTAAAAAATTTAACAATAAATGCTGTTGCCTTGAAGCGTTAAATTTGTTTATAAATTGAAAAGTTATTGATTGCAATATAGAAATATTAAATATATACGTACCCCTTAATGTATGCAATTTAATTGGATATTCAAAAAGAATAATCTTTTAAATAATTTTTCAGCGTACTTCCTAATTTGCGTGTTAGTAGCAAAATAACAAAAGCTACAGTAAATGCAATGTAGCTATTTTGGAAAAAAGTAGCTTTTCGTAGATGAACAACATTTGTGAGGGTAATAGCGAAAAAAAAAATTATTTTCTAAAAAATTTCGTTCTCCTGTCGCAAAAACCATTAATTTTTCACCCGAATTAATTAATTTTTCATAATTCACAGAAGGAACTTTTTTTAATGCTATATGCTTCAAACATTAAAAAAAATTTTTTACCCACACAATTTTTTTTATGAAATCGTATTCATATACTCTAGGTCTAGATTAAAATTAGTAAACAAATTTCATCTGGAACAAGAAGTGTTTAAATAGCTTTTTTAGCATTTTCATGTGAAATCATTAATTTTCATAATACTAACGTTGAAATTTACGCACACCTTGTTTTCTTTTTTAACTTATATAACAATAAAAAAATAACTTTAATTGGTTTCAATACAAATGCGTTTATAACATAACGTTTTAATCCACATAGACGTTTGTTACAACATAAAATTATGCTTTAGAATTGAAAATTTAATAGATTTATATCTCACATTTTAAACATGATTACCTTGAATTTATTATAATACGCGTTTAATGTTGATATGTGCATGAATTATACATTGTTTTTTTATTTAGAAATTAATTAATTTCAGTTTGAAAAAACATTGATTTCAATATGTAAATAGTAAGCTAAAAATTACGTAACATAAGAGAGAATAATCATGCAATTGTTCTAAAGATTTTCCCATCATTTGATATTATAGTGGTGAAGCAGACGTTGACTAAAATCATCATCAGTAATATTAACTCAAATTAAAAGAACGTATTAGACAAATTAAATATTATTACCTAGTTCCGAAGATATATTAAAAATCATTGCTTATGACAGTAGCTCTTCTAATAATTGTAGCTTAACTTTCAATAAATTGATTTAATGTAACACGTGTACTTAGACAGTATTCCGTGATACGCTTATGTCATAAAAGCTTTCCCATATATATAGGGATATTTGAATATATGATAATATGTGAACCGAAAATAGCACCCACACAAAAAGTATCTTATCGGTACTATTATTGCATAATGTTGCCAATTATAGTGAAATGTAAACTTTATAATCTAAACTTAATTTCACGGTCTATTTCTTGTAATAAGATTCATAGAGAGAGAAAAAGGAGCACTTTAAATAAAAGTTGACCAGTATAGTAGCTGCACTCTAGCATAGCTAGAGTTTAAATTAATTAAATTAATGCTGCCTCTTTTAAAGGCACTCCGAAATTGAAGACGTACATCGAATGAAGTATCGAATTATAATTTCAATTCGAACATAAAATAAACCTACAATAACAGTATCTATCCTGTATGTAAGAGAAGATATTTTGTCGCTTAAGAGCACTTGTCCTCTAATTACCCGCAAAGGTACATTTAATCAAGAATTGTATCCAAAAATGTAACATATATATATAGGAACTGATTGCAAGAATATTTTCTTAGCAAGTAATTTCAAGAAATTACCAAGTACTGCTGCTCATAAGAGTTGTCAAATTCTCTGTTACTGCTCATAAGAGTTGTCAAAATCCGTGTTACTGCCCATAAGAATTGCCCAAAACAAAAATGACGAAAGTGTTTGAACTATGAAGCAGACAACATTAGAAAGTAATTAATTTGACGAGTATACAAAAATTAACATACTAAAACGATAAGTTAATCAACTATTAATGAGAAAATAATTGCTTGAAAATTATAAGAAAATTATCATTTTAAAAACCGCGAGATTTCCATATTGGATTGCATACTATAAAAATCATTCGTCACTTTTATACCTAATTACATGTGACCATATAAAATTTTCGGAAGTCTTTGTCATTAAGAGTTATCTGAAATTTGATTAAAAGTAATTAAATGGAAATTATTACTTTTTACCGTTATAGAACAGATTTTCTAAATATTTTTTGCACATTTGTTAAGCTTAGGTAATATGAGCAAGTTCAATTTTTTAATTTTTTTAATATTTTTAATTTTTAGAGATTCAATTGGAGTGGTAAATAATATTAAAATTATATTTATATGTAAAATTAAATTTAAAAATTTATTCTTTACTCAACAATTTATTTTAGAAATCCTTTAAAAGCATCACGTTACGTAATATACAATGTGAAGGAAATCCAGAAATTGTTGTTAATTTTACATGCGTTTTAAAAGCTGTCAATAGAGATAAAGTTATTGGAATTCTTGACGGTGATGTTATAACAAGGGTTACCAATGTTATGGTAGGTACAAAATTAGTTTAGGGATCTACATAATAGATCTGTCCGTGTACGTGAATGTAAAACCTCGAAAAAGAATAAAGTTATAGTGAGAGTAAATGCGAGAATATGATTAATTTTCAAATAATTGAAGCAATTTTTAAGAAAAATTACCATACAGCACTTGTATAATTGTCACTCATTTATTTTCTATTTGAGTTTTATTTAAAAATAATAAAAATAATAACAAAACTTTTCGAGAAATTTCGAGTTATGTTAAAAAAAAAAAACAAAAATGCTGACTTTGACGAGCTGTAACTCGAAAACTATGGCTCAGATTAAATTAATTGTAAGACTAAAATTAAAATGCAATCAATTGCTTGTAATACAAGCTGCTAATGATAACTCCCTGTTGTACGCATGCGTACAATTATTTGCTGGAAATTGGTCAAAGAATCACCCTTACATATACTTACGAATTATGTACGTAATTTTCATAGCGATTATATTGAAACTAATAGAAAATATTAAAAATTTTATAGATAAATTTTAATACATTTGCTCGTCTTAATGGTTGGAAACAATGGATTATTCACGGAACATTTGATTTATGTGAAGTTTTAGCCGGAAAATATCATCCACTTTTTAAAATTTTTAAATCAACTCTAATAAAATATACAAACATTAATCATACATGCCCATTTGAGGTAAATTTTTCTAATTTTTATTTTAGATTTTATTTTATTAATAAATTTTTATAATTTCTTACAATATGTACATTCGCATATACATACAGGGTCATCTTTTTGTTAGAGATTTAGTATTTGATTCATTAGATTTTGGAAATTCTATTTTACCACCTAAGGATTATCGTGCCGTATTAAGAGGATATGGTTATAAAACACAATACTTCAATATTACTATTGACGTTCGAATAACATAAATTCATTAATTATATTGTAATATGATGAATTCATTTTGCCGCGATGTGTAATAAAATAAATATTAATTAAAAATAGTTAAAATAACATGAAATTTTACTTCAAATATGTCATTTATAAGAAGAAAATCTTGTTTTTGTTTAAGAATGTCGGGGCCTACCTTAATGCAATTCATAGTTTGTTTAACATACTCAGTTGCCAATGAGTTTTCTTTTTGGCCTAGTGCAAGTCCTTGGCGGTGGTGGCCGTGCGGCCCTCCCCTTTCCTGCTTGACACATTCAGCAATATTAAAATTTCAATTGCTGACTATGTCAAATTTATATTTAGTCTGCATCTGCACACATAATTAGAAAAATTTTCTCTTCGCAATATAATTATAAGCATTAGAATTATTATACAACAATATTGTATGTGTATGTATATAGATTCACAGAACAAATTCTTTATAAAACTTACCGCTAATAACAGTAGCTGCGATAAGCAACTTTAAATATACATATACATATACACGTACAAATAATTATCAATCTTACGCTCTTCAACATTTAAAATTATTTTTAAAAAATTTTGTACAATTATCTGAAATGAAAACAAAACAAATTAATAAAAATAAATAAAATTTATTTAAAAATTTATAAATTAAAATATTTAATCGATTTATTCTCTCAATTATTTTTATAATGATGCCAATTAAAGAAATCATTTATTAAATTTAGCAAAGATAAGAAACAAAAAGTAGAATCGCTTCTTGACGCCTAATGACACAAAATGTAAAAAAAAAACATCAAACTCCTAATAAAACCACAAAATCTAATAAGAAATTAAATAAGAATAAAAAAAAAGAAGCAGAAAACAAAAATATCACATTGCATTTAGTTGAAAAATTCAAAAGTGCATTTGTACACCTAAAATGCACACACAAAAACACACTATTTTGCATATTATGTATATTTGATTATGTGCATCACTGTATTACATTGTTTATATATATAAGTGTTCTATATGAAATAATGAATATACATTATTATATGTTTGTAAGTATGTATGATTTTTATATTTAAAATAATAAAAGTATACGCGCATATCACATTAGAACTTGTTGCGCGTGTGACCTCTAATGTGTCTATTATTGTGATATTCTATTTTGTTGTTATAAAATTTTATAGTTGATAGTTTATATACGAGAGATGCATAGAGTTCTAAAATATGTAGTATTGTTGCTTATGTAGTATATCTTGTCTACTGCTAGTACGAGTATATAACAGAATTTGATTTACGATTATTTATTTATTTGACTTGTTCTTTTTCTTCTTATATTCATTACTTTTATTATTATTTTAAATATATTATGAATATTATAATAATAATAATTATTATTTTATTTTTTCGCTAAAATGCTATTAATTTATGTGCATGCTTATATACACAATACCTATATGTGTAATTTATAATATTCAAACCAATTGAAAAGCATAAATTCTCCAACTATTTGAAAAAAATAAAATAAAATAATAATTAGTTATTTGGAAAATTTATGAGCTGCGAATATTAAAAATAATAATTAAGTGAATATTAAATAAAAATTAAAAATTAATTTTAATTTTAATTACTTAAATATTTCCTAATATTATTTTTGAATAAACAAAAATTATAGCCTAGATAAATAGAAATTTGATAAAAATTTGAAAAATAGAATTATACGCAAGACTTTAAAAATAAATACGGAGACAGAATTAAAATGCATTTTTGAAATGCTCATTTATTGTTGTCATAATGATAACAATTAATTATTATTAAAAATTTTAAAAGTCTAAAAGAGAAAAGATTAAAATTAAGCAAAGAGAACGCCGAGAACAATAATTATTAAATCATTTCTTTTCTTTTTTCACTCTTTCATAATTTTGGCATACAAGGGGATTTATAGTTTGTTTGAGAAAAACGGAGACTACTGAATTTATTGTAGACTGTAAATTTTTAATTTTCATCTGTATTGTGGCATTAAAACGCAATATTTACACATTTCCAAGTAAAATTATTATGAAATAATACCGAATTCATTGTAACAGTAACATCTTATTTCTGCATGGGTGGATATATTCTCTCTTAAATTTCATATACTCTTCTCAAGTAAATTGAATTCAAACTTTTAAAGTAATTTTTCGGGAAAATTCCAAGAATTTGAGCTTTTTAATTAAATACATACTTCATTGTCTTCTATACTTGTTATCAAATTACTTTAAAGTAAATCACCTTCTCGAAATAATAGTATATATTTGATTTTTAAATGACACCATATAATATTGCTCAAATAGATTATATTTGTGCTATAAATTACAGATTTTAATACGAAAAGTTGAAATATTTCGAAATCTTTAGTTCGCGTTAAGATGACTAAGATATTGTATCTAATATTTTATATTGGAATTCATTGCTGCTTTTTCAATCCAATAAAAATTTCAGAGAAAATATGTGAAAAGAATAGATTTCCTAAAATAAAATAAGAGCAATCCCAGTTTTTCAACCGCTTTTAATATCTTCTAAACAAAAATAAATTCATTCACACCTCGTATAAAATTAAAAAACCAAAAAGCAAACTAATTTTAATTTATGTAAACCGCATAAAAATCAAAACGGCACTTGACAAACACATTTGTATATACACAAATCACATACATACATACCATGTATGCATTTTGTATTTCTATTGCTATTTAACGTACCATGTGTCGGTTTGCGTATAAGTTCTGTTTGCTTGCAAATAATTTACATGCTTATGTACATACGAAATCTAAATATTTATAGTATTTTGTTTTTAAAATTAAAATCACATCTTATTACACAAAAGCTTTTCAAATTTTCTGCGACTATTCAGGCATATCTGTTTGTATATCATGTGCATAAGAGAACACCTTTCTCTTGCATTTCTTTTTCTCTTTTTTTTCTGTTTTTATTTTTATTTTAAAATTTATGGTACCTACATGAGTACATGAGTTTGAATATATGAAGATTCGTATACAGACTTGCATGTATTAATAAATAAATGCAATATTATACAAGTATAGTAAAAACTGCTGCTGCACATGCCTATATTTACATCCAGAAACAAGTACATACATATAATTATGTATATATGTATGTATATAATATAAATTTTCAATTCATTGTATTTTTGTATGTGGATTCTTATGTGTATATTTCGTGCAATATACAACATATGATAAAAGTAAGACACGTGTATTATGAGACCAAATACACATCTATGCATACATTTATGGGCACAAAAATTTATCCCTATATAATTATACATAATATGTATGTATATGTATGTATAAGCATCAAAATAATGCACATTTTACAAAAATCTATTAAATTGTAGGAAACTCTGGTATGCGGATTTTTTTGTGCTACTTATTTTTCTTTTTATAAACATTGAATGTGAAAAAGAGAGTTGTGTAAGCTAATTGCAATAATATAATAATAATATAAAAAAAACTATTTATAATATGTGTTATGAGCACAAACATATCTACATTTGCACAAACGTATATAGTAAGAGAAAAGAAGAACGAAAACTATTACTAATTTACAGTTAGTAAGTAAGGAGTATGATAATAAAGCGAATTATACTAGGAATGTATGTATGTATATATGTAGGTAAAAATATGAAGGTGAAGAAGAACATCTCTATAATATATATTAAGAATAGTAAAAGCAAAAAACCTAAAAAAGAGAAAAACCAACAGAATTAAAGAAAAAAAAACTTTTATAAAACAATTACACAATTGCGTAGAAGCGCATTTATGAAATTATATAATTAAAATAACATTAGATATGCATGGAACGATACGTTTGAGTGTATATATTGTTGTCTATATGAGTGTTAACAATTGCCATGCAAATTTTATTTTACTATACTGATAGGGTTAATAAGAGTGCAATAACTATTAATGGAATTTTGTAAAAAAAGTTAACTTAGCTTGTTCTTTTTGCTAGATTAAAAGTGCATATTTGTTTCCTTAAGTTGAAACATCTACTTACTTAAAGTTGACATTCTAATTTTCAAACATATGCCTGCATCATGGTAGTAGACGATTCTATTCGCCTTGATAAGTTTACTCAATATCTGAAAAATGAAAAAAAAAATTATTTTAAAAAGTGCTAAACAATTTCAGAATCGAAAAATTGTAGATTAAAACAAAAAATTTGCTACCATGATAGCTCATTGTAGCTCTATCTAAGAAAATTAAAATTGAGAAATAAGAGATATTCGGCTTGTTTAGGATTGTATCAAAAATTTTGGATTTTACATGGTAAAAGATAGTTAAATTGCAAAAAATTATCATTCTGCATTTTATACTTCATATCAAATAAGAAAACATTAGAATTATCCAAAGAGTCAAAAACGTACCGGAAAATACGAATCTGCCTAGGCTTACTCTTCTTCTTTCGCGTTTTCTTCTTTTTTTCTCTGTTTTGTATACATACCTTATCCATTTTCCCACTTAATCATGATTTTGCTATTGATGGAAGTCTAGTGTTCTTTTGCCAGTTTTATGGAACGCTACTTACTATATTCTTCTAATTTAAATTTCTTTACCATATAGAAATGTTAACCTAAAATCTTTGAAATTTTAAGACTATATTTTAAAAATAATTACTGATTACAGTAGAGACTGTCGCTTAATTCTCGTATTTTAGATAGAAGCTTACCTTAAATGCTCTCAATTTACCCAGAATTTTCAATTGATCTGTTTGCAGCAACAATATGAGGATACAACAACGTAACCTTCAGTTGCATTTGATGAGTTCATTGTTTTTTAACTGTTTAATTAATCAAATTAATTATAGCAGTTCAAAAACTTTCAAATTCAGTTTGAGTCCCACTTTAAATTTGTGATTGTTTGTATTAAATAATTTTCTGAATAAAAATCCTTATCATACGCTGTAACAAATATGTTTTCAATATAACAAATTATTGTACTAGTATAAAATAGAGATTGAAAGACCTTTTACATATATATATATGCATATGCACATCATAATCAGAATATGCTAGAAACATTTTTTTTTGTGTATTTGAAAAAGTAAATTGATTTTTATGTTTTCAAAAAAAAATTATGACTTAAACACTTTGTAAAAATATTGCACTGGCAATGAAAATTTATTGTTCAAAAAATTCAAAATATAATATAGAATAAAATTTTTTTTTGTTGTAAGTTAATTAGACTATAAACGCTAATTGGTTTTGGAAGGTGTTAGAGAAAAAAATTATAAGAAAATAAGACATTTAAGTTCTATTCACACATGAGAAGCAATAAATTATAAGAAAATAAACTTTTTAACTTTCTAATAACGTCTATATGCACATTGCACAAATTTTATATTTTGTATG